TTTTTTTTTTTTAACAGTATGCAGAAGTTAGTGAATTACTTATTTTTGAAAAAAGTCATAAACGCGTAATACACTCACTTCAAAAACTGTGGTGAAATATCTCTCCAAATTTTGTGTTAAACCATACCAAAAATTGTGTGATCGAACACTTTAATTTGAATAAACTCTAAATCTAGTGTTCATATACACATTTAAGTGGTGTAGTTAAATCTAAATATCAATAGTAGAGAATACTTACCTTAAGCTCGCACATTCACACCATATTTCGCATTCGCAACAATTCCTTTGGTGTACATTTATATATTGTCATATGGCAACGTTAGATTTTTTACAATCGAGCACGACATGGTGCACGCCGCTATACATCGGCCAAAACAAGATTTCGTTGCTACAAAATGATCTTAAGTAAATGTCAATTTTTTTTAAGAAATAATTTTGCAATATTTAATTTCTATTCTTTCTGTTCGGTTAAGCAAAGCTCGAGTTCATCTAAATATTCTCTCTGCGCCTTATGTATTATTGACTTATAAAAATTTTATTTTTGAAATTACTGTGTATAGTCCGAAATTAATTATTCTTACTTTAATTTAATTGTAAAAATAACTTTACTGACTCTTATGCTTATCGTATTTTTTGTTATTATAAATTTTAATCTTACTGAACATCGAAAATGTTAGTGCCTACTTTACACCAAGAATAGTGTAAAGTAACGCTCTGAGAGTTTCACTACGCCTAGAACTGCTTTTAATTTTTTATTGCAATAAGAATTATCTATTGTGGTGGGTGATCTACTCCACTTTTGGTATAAATTAGTTTTTACCATTTGACTTACATTGTTTACCATTACTATTAAAATAGAATAATAGAAAAAATGCAGTTCGTATACAATTATAATGCAGTTTAATGCAAATATAGAGCAATTTATAATACCTATGAAAGTCAACAACAGCTTTTTAAAAGTAGAAAGAATGGTCTGTTTGCAGTCAATTATCAAATAATTTAGTCAATTACTTTTTAAAAAAAACAATGCAAGACGAAAATTTGTTACTTAATAACTTGGTGAGAAAACATTAAATGTAAAGGAGATTTAGGGATTTGAGAAAATCAGAATGAAATATATCAGAATGTTTTTTATATATTTTTTTCACTGTAAAAAAATCTATTCTTCTAATTCGTGAAAATTTCTTCGTTTTTGACGAAGCTGTTTTTTTTTGNAATTTCTTCGTTTTTGACGAAACTGTTTTTTTTAGGGGGGGGGGGATTTTCAGAGCGAACATTTCGTCAAACTGATAAAATTAGTATTTTCACTTGTTTGTGAATGCGAGAAAATAAGTACGTAATTAATCGCAAGAAATTGAATCGGAGAAATCTACTTGACAATCAGGAAACTACAGACAGACCTATCTCTCCTACACCATCTCATCATACAGTTTAAACGGAAAATGGTGATAAATTCTTAGAGTGCTCTAAAATGACGCACGAGTGAGGGATTAGCTTCGTCAAATGTAAGAGAGTTCTTACTGCGTCAAAAGTTATGTGATTCCATGACGAAATGTAAGCTAAAAATAAGAAATATTGCTCAAGAATTGCTAAACCGTAAAAAAAATTGTGTTCAGTTGAACAACTTTAGAAGCTCTGTATTAAGTAAATCAATTTAATGTTCTATACATATTATTTTATACCTAAAAAGTGGAACTTCTGTAATTGCATTTCAATGTTTTAAAGTGTATTTATAAAATTAACGAGATAATAAAAAAAAAAATTCCAATATTCACGAAAATATTTGTACCTTTTTTCTTTTCCTTGCTAAATCGTTCTAAATTCTTGTGAATATTATACATAATGATAGATGAAGATATTGTTCTGTTTATTTTGCAGGGTTTTTATTTATATCTCTATACGATGTCACTTTTGTTCTTGCTATACATCTACATTTACCTTTTACGGGATTCGACTGCGGGGAGTGGCTTGAGTGCTGTTGCGAAAAAAATCACCATTTTGGAGAGCTTACGACGATTGGGAGAAAAAGGAGTTGACAACGGTCCTGATGGTCCCGTCCCACCAAGATTGAAAAAATATCGAATTTCAGACAATGATAAAAGTCATGGAAGCTTATTTTTAAGAATAGGAGCAATAGGTGATGATTATAGCAAATATTATAATTAGGAAAAATTCTATATAAATAAAATTATTATTCAGACAATGATAAAAGTGATGGAAGCTTATTTTTAAGAATAGGAGCAATGGGTGATGATTATAGCAAATATTATAAGAATACCGAATTCTATATAAAATGACTATTCTTTGAATAATTTGAAAAACGGAAAATTGTAGAAAAATTATAGCATGTATTAACTGAAAAGGTGGGTTAAATCAATAAACTTAGGTGCTAAAATTAAAATTCCAATGAATATGTAACCTTAATTATTTTAGTTGTATAAATGTATGCATTCGTTAGAATCATGGTAGATAGACGTTTTCATAAATAAAACTGCTGGAACCATGCCGTCATTTTGGAATGGTACAAAGCATAAGCAAAAAGCCAAGAAAATGTTGAAACTTAAACTAAATGTAATAATCTGCAAATAAATAAAATTTTAGTCCATTCAAGGAAAAACTGTATAAAGTGCAACTATACTTTCGTATTAAAATAATTCAATTTGCTAGTAATTTAAATAAAAATGATAAAAGTTACTTCACATTTTATTCATGTATTAATGAACTTTAAGGTGAAAAGCTTGAAACACTCAGTAAAAAGTAAAACTGAACATGTTTCCATTTATTCGTGGCTGCATAAATTCTTCCTGTTTAATTTTGATACAATTTTAACATAATTTTGAATGAAAGTAAATAAAGTTTTTGTTTTAAAATTTAATTAGAAGGCTTAGTTTACATTTGTCATAGCAAATTAAAACACTTTAATTTTTTTCAAGTTTGTTATTTAAATTTATTATTAAAGTTAAAATATTAAAAGGTTAAAATTAAACAAAAAATTATTTAAAGAGAGAAAGATTAAATTAAAAAACTTTTAAAAAAACTAAAAAATTAAAAAATTAAAAAAATTTTTAATTTTAAAAAATTAAAATTTTTGCATCATAACAGTTGATATAAACCACCAAAAATATACATGCATGCCGATTCATTTACTTAGATAGAAATTATATTAACCAAATTACAGACTTAGAATTTTTCAACAATGCCAGTATTAGAAAATTGTGCAATTTTGGTTAATTATTTAGTACATATTCAGATATATTTATCCAAACACTGAGACAGGTAAGTTCCAAAATTTTATAGTTGAAAAATCAAAATCAGTAAAAGTACAATAAAGCTACTTTTCAAGATATTTTAAAAGATTTCAGAAATTGTGAATCGAGAATTTACTTAATACTATTATATATTTTTTTACACCACTCTCCCCTAAATTTTAAATATTATATTTAGAACAATAATTTTTTTACACTGAGGGAAAAAAATATGGTCAAAATTGTCAGAATATGGAAAAAATTACCATGTTTCTGACTCCATACATAAAAATGTAAAAACCGTCATTTTATGGTACAAATGTCTATTGTATCTAGTTCTGTAAATATTTGGTGCATTCAATAAATAGCGAGTCAGATGTTATTACATAATTTTTTTTTATTGGAATATGTATTTTCTGTAATTGTATAGGTATTTAATCCTTTCTGATACTAGTTGTACAGTGCACAAAAAAGTGATCCTGAATAACTGCTTCCCCTGGATTAGTGATTTAGTGACCGGGTTTTCACATACCAAGAATCGATCTTAATGGTTCAAGGGTAAAACTTTAAATATACTGGTTAATTTGAGGAGATGATACGTCAACTTACAAATCAGTCACAAAAATATACATTTTCTGAATACACATACCTTTTTTCAAAGGTTTGGGATTCATATGTCAAGTTACAAATCAGCCACAAAAATATACATTTTCTGAATAAACATATCTTTTTTCAAAGGTTTGAGATTCTTGGCCGTTAAAATACAGGGAAAGCCGCAATCTGGAAAATAGGATAGCGATAGTTTAGGAAAGACAGCAGCTGAAAGGTAGATCCTTTAATATTAATTTCTCGAAAACATTTTAAGTTGAACGAAAACTTTTTCGCACACGTTTATATAATTCGTTTATCAAAAGATTATCATTCGTTTATCAAATTTTAGCAATTATTTATTATTTTCATTATTTTATTTAATAAAGATACAAAAAAAATGATTTCTAATGTATACAACTTTTTTACAATTTTTAAAATTTCAATTTTAAATGACAAAATGTAAAATCAGTTTAAAATTCTCTGACTTATCAAATTTGAAAAAAATAACATAAAATTTAGTTTCTAAAATTTTGAAAAAGTTTTTCAAATTAATTTCATTTTTCAATTTTGAAGAATGAAATTTAGTTTGAAAATGTAATGATTATTTTCATTTTTCATTATTTGATAGAAAATTGTATATTTGACTAATTTTGTATTTTGTCAATTAAAATAACATACTTTAAAAAGATGATATGTATTCAGAAAAAGTATATTTTACAGCTTTTTCATAACTGAAAATATCGTGTGCACTAGTCAATTAGCATATTTAAGGTTAGGCCCTTGAACCATTAAGATTGAGTTTTAGCAGATGAAAATACGATCATTAGATCAAAGTTTTTCAGGGTGATTTTTTTTTTTTTTNTTTTTTTGCTCACTGTACAATTCCATTCCTTTCATAAGCTGCTGTTTAGACCAGTCCCCCCCCCCCATACCTTGACTTCGTTGTCCATTTGAAACCCATGTCTTTGCAGTGCTTTTTTGAGTTCATCGAAGATGCGGAAGTTACAAGTTACATGGGGACAGATCTGGATTATAGGGAAGGAGCTCAGGATTTCCCATTTGAATTTCTGCAGACGTTCTTTCATATTTTTGGCTGTGTGTGAATGAACATTGAATTTTAATGGGATGACTCTACAAGAAAATTTAAAAGGGTACGAAGAGGCTATTTGCGATAGATCCTAATAAGTCTTGCTTACAAAAAGGAATGAAGGGGTTGGTTATCACTTGCTTATCATTGCTGCGTGACAAGTACTACATCGAGCAAGTGGAAAGCGCATGAATCTTTTTTGTCACTTCAATAGCAGCCGTCCCTAATTTTCTAAATAACATTTATGACCTCGTTATTTATTGACTGTACCTAATGTCTCCCTTAGTTTTTCTCATATGCTACAACTCATTTTTTATTTAAATTCCCTTCAACTGAAAAAAAAATCTTTTTTTTTTTTTTTAATTTCAAAAATAGCTCCTTTTAAAATTTTTAATATCCTTTTTCAGCTTTTGGTCTAGGAACAATGGTTTATAATGGCTTAGAGTTTGGATCTTTCTTTGAGGTGCCACCTTCATCCCTGTGTTATAATGTTTTTTTAGGTCTTAATCCCATTTTGCAAATGATTTTCACCTTTGCTCAAATGTATTTCATATTTGTCAATGCCCGGGTAAGTACAGTCTGGTGATTTTTTATTTTTATTTTTACAAGATTGTAAAAAGCCTAAAAATTTTTCAAATTCGAAAAAATTCTGCTCTTTTAATATTTAAAATAATAACATTTTGTAGTTGACAGCAATTGTTAGAATTAACAGTTTGTAGCACACATTACAGTTTGTAGCTGTTGGAATTCCTTAAGAATCCTTTCTAGGCGACTAAATTTCATTTAAACCTCCAAACAATGCATGTTTTTCGTTAAATTTTAAATGCGTTTCTCGTGAGATAATTGTTAGTTAATTTAAAACCTAAAATTTTCTAAGGATGTTTTCAATTTTACATGTAATTTTTATCTCTACATTTGCAAGCATGCTTTGGTTTCATTTTCAAGCCCAACTAGCACATTCTTTCAAAGAGAAACTCACGCTTCTGGATGGAAATTTCGATATATAGAGTAAACATTCAGAAAAATTTCATTTCAGAAAAATGAATGAGGCATATTCTTGCCCGCTTTATTTCATTTGTATAAGGAAAATTAAATTTATATTTAGTTTTTGTGTAGCATCACCAACTATTCATTTCTTTTGTTCAAATTAGATTTATATTTGAAACGGAAATTATTTAAAAAAAAAAATCTAAGAAGTGCGAACAGAAAGTTTTGATATATAAAAATGAGGAGATATTGCCCACAAAAAGGATCGGAGGGAAAGAATACAGTACGTTTCCTGTAGTTCTAGGATTTAGCACAAGAGCATTACAAGAACTTGAAAAAGCAAACTGCTACCCTCATCAAGAATAGAGCATAGCTATTTTGTTTCGCTTTCTCAAAGCGATCACCTACATTTTAATAGCTCAATGGCATTAATGGCATTATTGTATTTGTTCTCAAAACCAAAGCAAAACAAAAAAGTAATAATGAAAATTTAGTCTTCACTACCAATGGTTAGTTTATCGAGAATTATTATTCACTATATTTAAAATTATTTCGTTGAATTGTGTGCAAACTTTCATACTTTAACTCTAATGGCAATGCTAGAGAGAGATAAAGAAAGCAAGATGTAGCACACAAATCACAGTGCTATATTTTTCTTTCCCATCTGAGAAACTCATGACTGACTCAGAGATGGAAAACTAAGTTACACGTCATGTTCGAATGCAATTAACTGGTCTAAGTGAACAGACTAAAGTATTAATGAAATTTTTTGAAAACTTTTGATTACTTATTGTGTTGAGGAAGGTGGAAAATATTTACAGAAAATTAATTTATATACACGCATAAAAAATTTTTAAAAATACTCTTAACCGATTAGTTCAAATTCATAGCCATAAGTTTTGTATTTAGTTTAGAAAAAAGGATATTCTAAATAGAAATAATGATGATTGTAACTGGAAAATTATTATCAGTATATTGATGATTTATAGCGTGTACCGAAAAATGAAAGAAAATTTTAAAATTTAAAAAAAAAAATTTAAATGTACACTTTGCGGTTTTCTGTTCAGAAAACTATATATATTTTTTTCCACCAAGTTTCAAAATAAGTTCAAAATTTTGTTAAAAGATAGTGCTGTTACGTAGAAAAATGAACTGAAATATGTTTTTTGCTGCATTTTAGGCTATTTAAGCAGAAATATTTGAACGAGTGTCAGTTAATTTTGTTCCCATAATAAAATATGTTGCGGCAAATAATGTTTTTTTCCCCTTTATTTATTTAAAAAAAAATTACTGTAACTTTTTGTAATTCAAAACTACGTAAATCTTAAAACTATGTAAATGATGATTGTAATGCTAGAATAAGTCACTTGAAGAATAAGTCACTTGTATCCTGATCAGGATGCAGCAACCGATACATTTCTATTTTCTCTCGTTTTTCTTTAATTGATTTGTCAAATTGTTGGTCATTTTTCGAATACTCAGTGAAAATTTTTCTTTGCAATATATATTATGTATTTAATTTGTTATTATTTTCTTAATTTAGCTCAATATTCAAAAGTTCAAAGTAGTTGCTCGATTCGGGCTCATGCACATAATAGCGACAAATCTCTGTGTTTGGATTAGAACTGTTGGAAAAGAGGCACTGGAAGCGATAGCAGAAAATCAAAGAGAAAGTGGACTCGGTTCCAGCTTAGAGGAATTAATACTACCCTTTCGTGTAACAGGTACATAAAATTAATTAAAATCCTTTTACCTAAAGTGGTATGCATTCCGCAGTGTACATCGTCTATGGTGACAACTAAAAAAGTAACACAAAAGTAACATAACACAGTTTTAAAAAACACATACGATTTCAATTGTATTATTTATGTAACTGGAACGCCTATTTTAATAATAGCATAAGCAGTCAGTCTCAAAAATTTAAGTTCTAAGCGATATTTGATTAAACAATTGAAAAATATATAATACAAATAACAGGGAAAATTTTTAAGATATAAGGAAAATGGAATGAGGTTAAGAAAGTTTCGTTAATTAGAATATATTTTATTCTTTAACATTATAATTTTTTTTAAACATTTTGTCTAAAATGATCACCACAAAATTTCAGTGCATTGTGAATTTTTTTTAAATGCCTAAAGCTGCAAAATGAACTGAAACCGGCGTTTTGTATATATATATATATATATATAAATTTTATTATTTTACACATTNATATATATATATTACTTAGAATCTAAAAAATAAAAATGCTTAGCTAATGACTTGTATACATTGAAAGAATACTTTGCCTGTAAAGGAATTACAATTCACTCCTATATACACTTTTACATTTATATAATATTGTTAAACAGTGTTCTCGATATCGAACTTTAATTTTAGCATTTCTTATTTTGTAATCACTAATCAGCAACCCACAAAATAAGAGAAATTTTTTGCTTTGTAGTATTTACTTTACTGAGAATGAAAAAGCTAATTTACATATTTTGAATTCGTAAGACGGAACATATATATATTTTTCTTATTTTGCAGAAGAGCACAACAACACTACCTTAAACTTAAGTAATCCCTGCCAAAAGCAAAATATCATGGGATCAATAGTGTCTGATGCTTCACCATTTCTGTATCCCTTCATTGTGGAATACAGTCTAATAGCTGCTGCTGTGCTGTATGTTATGTGGAAGAATATTGGGCACAATCCAATGTTTCGTATTGAACAAAGTGCTGAAGATGCCTTATCAAGAACTTCAAGTTCACAATCCTTTCACAGAGTTAATTGTGCAGGTTCAAGTCGAGGATTATTTTTGGGACTTTTCTTATTGGTTATAGCCACTATTTGCCTGATTGTCTTTTTTGTCTTTATTCATCATGAAAACCTCAATCTTTTAGCAGTTTATCTTTCAGACTTATCTCATTCCATAATTATGCTCATTTCTATTTTTGCTATCATAGTTGGTTTTTTTCGAGTAAGAGCTTTGCGTTTTCACTACGATCGTAAAGACCATCTTCGAGATCTTCTACTTCGTGTTAGTGCCTTTGGTTTGTATACTTACGCTATGTTTGGTATTATCGCTGGGACTCTTTCACCACTTCACTACACTCCTAATTTACTTGTCATGATCACCAGTTGTCTAACGATTATTCAAGTCACTTTACAATCGTTGTTTGTAGCAGATATAACATGCAGATCTACATATCTTCCTGAACATGATAATACAAAACCGGGTCGGCAAGTCATCACATTTTTACTCATGGTCAATCTCACATTTTGGATTATCTATACATTTGAAATGCAAAAAGTACAAGCTAGTCCAGTGCAGCTAGGGTTTTATGGTTTCATGGCGTGGACTGTAATAGTTAGAACCACTTTACCATTAAGTATCTTTTTTCGATTCCATTCCTTTATAACATTTGCAGAAGTATGGAAAAATTCGTATAAGAATATTTGCAATTAAATATGTGATACCATCTTACTGTAAAAGCAACTTACAAAAAGATGCGATTCTTCTAAATTTAAATGAATTTCGCAAACAAGATTCAAAGCATCCATTTTGTCAAATGAATCAAAATGAAGACATTGACTTTGATACAAAATATATACTTACATATATCTTATTCAACTACCAATATATGTTGTGCATTGTGTTTTCTGTTATGCTGTGGTGTGAAGTGTATGCAGCTGATTATTGATGGTGGCAAAAGCTCCTTTACACGATTAGTTGTTTTTGATATAGTGCCAAAATATACACAAATGTGCAAGAATGTGTGTTAGTGTAGTTAGAAAAATATTGTAGATTTAGATTGCTGTTTTCTAGAATTTAAGAATTATATATGTGACATAGAGTTCTGTTCATTCTGATACTTGGAGCTGATATCGAATGTGTTGTAGCTTAAGTTGCTATTTATAAGGTGTGCTGAACTGATGCATTAATTTTTTGAGAAGTGGTGGTTAATTTATAGGCTGTTTAAAACAAAAAATGGTTGCATTTAGAGGGTGGAAGTTGTATTGAAAGGATCCAAATAAAACTTCAAATCTGTGTTGCATAAATCATGCAGCTGAAGTTGACAGCCTAAAATAAAGTTTGAAATTTCACTTTATACAGAGTAATAGCAAAGACAAAGGAAAAATAATTAAGTTGTACTCAATCCATGAGGTTGCTTTAATGACAAAAGTCAAATGTTATCAGATAGGATGATTTGACTGGGCGTAAATCATATGTCCTCTCAGATTCCTAGCCAGTCAAATCACCGGATCTAGATCTTGGGCTATGAAGGGTTACCTCACAGATCATATGTAATGCTCGAAAGCTCACATCGATGTCTCATCTATTGCTATTCATACTTTTGTGCAATGGTATCGTTGTCGTACACTTTCAACGTGTGTTTTGCAAATAAGGTTTGTAGATAAATTACACAGGTTTGAAAGTGGATGAAAACTTTTGCTATACTTTTAGTGTAACTATCTTTTTTCTTTCCATTATTTTTATAAGCATTCAGTTAGCAATATGTGATAGTAATAATTTTTCAAACTTAAATTTTGGTCATGAAAAGTATATGCGCAAAATAAAAATCAGAAACCTTAATAACTTTTAAACTAATGATTGGATTTTCAAATATTATGATCCAATCGTAAACGAGGAAAAAAACTCAAATATGCTTTTTAATTTGTACAAAAACATTCTTTCACTGAATAAACAAACCTATTTTCCCGGATTTAAATTCTTGATCCTTAAAATATGGGTGCATGCTCAATTTAAAAAATATGGTCCCAATAATTAAGGCTGGTCGACATTTCATGCCTCCTAATGTCAAGTTCATTTTTTATGTCATAATTTTAAAATTTTCATATCTCAAAAAATAATTGACTAATTCTCTCTGAAATTTGAATTCTGTCCTTTAAAATTACACAGCTGGAAATAATGTAAAAATTTGAATACCTTGTAATTCAAAAATTTCTGACTGTTACTAAAATGTATAGTAAGTTATTTTTTTCACTTAGAATTATCTTTACAAAAACGAGCTCCATAGTTATGTGGAAACTTTTTTTTGATTCTCTTAAATAGTTCCAGAAATATAAAGCAAAAAGTGAAATTAACATTAAGGGGCCCAAAATGTCTTGTCTAAACTTTGGAACCATATTTTCTTGAAAGAAGCTACTTCCCATATTTTGAGGATAAAGTATCCAAATCTATCGAAAAAAGGGTATGTTCATTCAGAAAAAGTACGCTTCTTTGTATTAATTAGTGTATTATAGTTAAGCTCCCCAAATCATTACTATTGCATCTTAATCCATGACAATTTGATCATTAGAGCAAAAGTTATTAAGGTGATACATTTTTTATTTCGTGTCACAGTACATAACACAAAATGTAGTCTTATTCAAAATTATTATGTTGACAAGGTTCTATCAAACTCTAAGTATTGTCAATTTAGTTTTAACCACCCTGCATCTGACGAGCTATGGGCTTGAACAATCTGAAAAATGATTCAGTCCCAGTCATAACTGCTCTTTTGGCGTCATTTCTTAAAACTGTGGAATTTTTAATTTGACCATGAAATAATAATGATGAAAATATAATAAAAATGCTACAGGGAAATTTTCTTTTAATGGAATGTTCTTGGAAAATAATTTTAGTTATATAATGAAAAGGAAAATTTAATACCGCTAACAATTTTTCAGTGAAGTAACTCATGCTGCTGGTTAACTATGATTTGTTTTTGTATATAATATGATTTTGATTATGAAAATTTTTAAAACAATTTGCATAACTTTAAAAAAAATGAAAAAAATAATAAGAAAGAGATAGAGAGGGAGAAAATTAAACCAATTTACACAAGGAAAAAAGAAACTTTGAATAACCAAAATTAGCCAGATAATTTGAGAAGAAACTTATTTTGTATTCAATTAAAACTTTATTGTAGAAATAATCGAATTTTTTCTTTTACTTTTTTGTATAAGTACTGTTTTTAACCCTTTCGCGAGTAGATGTTTTTATTTCGCCATTATCACCTTTTTAATTACATGACTGATTTGAGAGATGCGTGGGATTCGATACTGATTTCATTAAGTAATAAAACAATGTTAGGGACATTCAAACACCTTCAGAATGGAATTTAAGAATTGTTAAGTTAAATAGTTTTTTGAAACACATTTCCTGCATTTTTGAGCAAAGACCAATTGGTAGAGGTTCTTGGGGAGTACTGATTTGGGGGCTCTCTTGAATTTCCAGAAAATAATTCGAAAGTAAAATAATGAATAGTTATAGTAAAGATCTTTAACTATTTATTTATCTCATGACAGTTCAATGAATAAAGAAGAAATTATGGTAATTCAATTTAATTTGAATTATTTATATTTTAAAAGCTATTTGCGTCAGATTTATACGAATAAAAATCCAAATTTAATCGTTCAAAAGGTTTACTTCAAATTTGTTAATTAGTTAATACTAACTTTTAATTTAGTTGAGGAATTAAATACAAAAACATACTTTACCTGAATTTTTTCTGACACATTTGAATTTTTAACCATGAAAATATAAATATAAAAAGAGGCCGCAATCAGAATCCAAAAGCTTAGTCAGAAGAGCGGCAAAAAGTTAGGGCCCTTTAAAGTTTCACTTTTTGAGGTTCTGGTCCTATAATTTGAATTGTAAATTATAATAATTTTATATACTTTTAAACTATTAAATTTTAATTAAAAGAAGACAAAATTTAAAAAAAAATTGGTCGAATAGTTTCGAAGTTAAAAAAAAGTTCAAAATATCATATTTTTAATTTTTTACGAACTATTTGACAGATTGTGTTCAAATTTCGTATTTTGATATTAAAAATTACATAGTTTGAAATGTTGGAAACATTTCAACTCCTAAAGATTCAAAATTTTTCGAACAAATGTAAAATAATATAATAAGAAATAATAAAATAATTATAAAATATTACTTTTTCATGAGATCTCTTTGGGTAAACGAGTTTCATAAGTAGGAGCAGAAATTTTTTGAGTTACGCAATTAGTTTTAGAAATATGACAAAAAATGCGAAAAGTGAAATTAGCGGCCAAATTTCAGTGATAAGCGGCCAAAACTTTTGTCCACTCTCTTGACTAAACTAATGGGATTATATTATTAAACTAATGGGATAGAATGAAACGAATAGCAGAAATATTATTGAATTAGCCAGTTATGATCAGACGCTAACGTCGAAAAAAAATTGACTAAAGAGGTGAAGGTGAACCAGAAAAAAAAGTGAAGGTAAAATTGAAGGCGAGTAAAGTCTGTAAGATTTGGAGGTCTCCGAACTTAAAAATTGCATAGCACCTCAAGGATGAACATTCGATATTAAAACTATGAAGCAGAATTTCACGAAAACTGGACAGCAGCATAATGATCAAAGGGAATTTTAGCTAACAAATAATAATCCAGAACCATCACTAGGTGGCGTATCAAGAATAACATTAAAAAAATCTCCAGCAACCTCCTGTTTACAGCCATGCTCAATACGATATCTACTGTTTGGTTTTTACTAGAACTCCTCCAGGCGCGTGCTATAGTTTGTCTAAGCTAAGAACTCCTCTCGCCACAAAGTCTGAGGCCGTCTGGTGCTATGGAAGCAAGAATGGCGCATTTTAGGGAGGGTAGCTTCACTCTAGGACTAACACAATAGACCGAAGAAAAAGATTCCCTTTCTCCCGCCGACATGAGCCGAAACCACTCCAAAACAGTGACCCCGCACCCCTACTTGAAATAGCCATACCTCGTTACCATAGTCACCACCACAAGTCCAGACGAATGTCTGGAGGAGTTCTTACTTTTGACAAACTATAGAAGTAACTATGGTTGGAAAGATGAGTTATTTCGAATAAAATGGTAATAAGGTTAACCGTTTCTCATTGGTTTAGGCTGAGAGAGTCATGTCGTGACTTGAATTCTCCTCTATCAGAAATGATTTTACTCTTGTTTTCATGGCAGTAGACATCCTAAGACTTTTGTTGGAAAGAGATATAGTCTGTCTATCTAAAGAACTCCTACCCATATAGTGCCTGGGGATGCTTGTTGCAATAAAAATAAGATGTAACACATTTTAGAGAGAGGAGCTTTTGATACTTTTCTCACCGAGCACAGTCAAAACATTTTATAAGTGTTTATCTCAACCCCTTCCTGAAAAAAAATTGTTCAACCTCGTAACCATAGACACTTTAGGCGATTGGCGAGGGAAGTTCGATAGGTAGACAGATTATACTATTCTTTGCTATCGTCTGAAAACGTAAAATTGCGTGTTCAATCATTGGCGTATGCCAGAAATGCTTTGCACATAGCATGCTGTCTTTGCTCTAACGTAAGTTTTACATATATGTATATATTTTTTATGTAACCGTCGTTAAACAGTTAACCAAATTTTTTGATTACGACTACCGATGTTCAACTCAGACGATTGTAACTTTGAACCCAATCCAGAAGACAAGAAATCAACTATTAGGAGAAATTTGTCCTCGTGGAGGACTTGCTGATGAAACTAACTGGCAATAGCGTTACATGGAGAGGAAAACCACGAAAACCTCCCAAGGTTAGCCTGATGACAAGGGGACTCTAGCCCATGATCCGTCTACCACTGTGTTTTTTTTAAGGCAGCACTGTGGTCTGTGCGATCCAGGTGCGGAATTCGAATCGACCTGTCATTGCTGGGATTCGAACCCGATGCACCTCATTGGAAAGCAAACGCTCCCTCCCCTGAGCCACCGCGGCTCTCTTACATAAGTTTGATATTACGATAAACCAAGTCTGTCAAAATTCACTGAGATTCAGTTCTTGGAGTCGGAGAAGTCAAATTGTAGAAAAACGCGCCATCTCTTAGTGACTTGTTTGATCGAAATCTTTTGTTAGATAAAATTCCCATCTTTTTTTTATGCCACTTTCAAATTTTAATGAAATTTCGCTGCATAGTTTTTGTCGCTTGCAAATGAAAACTTTAATTACAGACAGTATTTTAAAGGTGGTGATTATGGAATTCATTTCATAGATGATAGTGGCGAATGAGCATAAAAATAATAGAACTTCTCAATGTTTGAAAAACGTTCATAGAACAAATGTAACATAAAATGTAAGTCAGTAAAAACAAGATTATAACATCTGAATGAGTTTTATTTATACTTTGCAGGATTTGTTACGAGTTTACAAATTATAAAAATGATTTATATTTACCAAAAACTTTTCTTCTGATAAACTCAGAGCAATTTTTATTGCTAGTTGACTTAAAATATTGCAAAATTTTGAAGGCAGCATTTTGTACAAGTTTTAAAAGTAGCAAAAGAAAATTTCCGAACTACTTAGTTCTTTGTATTCTTCGTATAAATTTTAAGCAACTTTTACAAAAATAAATCACCTTCTATAATTTTGTATTTTCATTGTCTGTAAGCATTGTTCTATCTGTATCCAAATTTTACTTTAAATGAAACTGTTTACAGTTCTGTGTAATAAAATTTGTGTAAAATATATTGTGCCTACTGTTTTAATTCAGAGGGGGCACCAAAAGAAAATATTAAAGAAAATTTCAAT